GCTTACGGCACGCTCTCTTCTTCATTTGCTGTGACAAGCGGTGTTCGCCAAGGTTGCCCTATTTCACCTTTCCTCTTCAATTGCGCCATCGACGATGTCATCCAAAGAGCACAGAAAGGTGCCCAGAACTGCGGTGTTGAACTCCCCCATGGAGATAGAGTCACCGACTTGGACTACGCCGATGATATCGAATTGGTGGGGGACGAACCACAAACCGTAAAGAGCACTTTGGACCGCTTAGCGATGGAGGTGTCTAAGTAGGCTTATACTTCACTCCCGGAAATGTAAAACGCTGCTCCAGTATTGGCAAGTGTCTGAAACCGCCGCTCACCATTGCTAGACATGTTCTGGAGTAAATCCCTTGATTTACTTATCTAGGGTTGCATCACGGCTAGTGGCGGTGTTGGGGATGAAGTTTCACAACGGATTGCAAAGGCCCACCTTGCATTCGTCAAACTGAGACACCTATGGCGTCGTCGTGATGTCAGTCTCAAGCTCAAGAGCAGGGTGTAGAATGTTTCCGTCCGTGCAGTACTCTTGTACGGTTGTGAGACGGCCTATCCGCTCGGAATACATGAAACGGTTGTCAGACTTTGATAATCGTTGTCTACGAAGGATTGCTCGGGTGTGGTGGCAACATCACATAAACAACGCAGAGGTCCGAGACCGAGTGCTTGGAGGGAGTAGTGCCAATCTCCTGAACGTTATGCTCCAACACCGCATGCGTTGGGTCGACCATGTAATGCGCATGCCAGCCTATCGTCTTCACCGTCGAGCGTTATTTGCACTCCTCGGAAGCGATTGGAAAAAGTGCCGCCTTATGAAACGTAAAACTCCAAAGCGGCGTGTGTAAAACCGAAAAAGAGTCGTTTTCCTCATGTTGTATTTCGTTTCACCCCTTTATTTTGCCATGGTTCTGATGGCACATTAGCTGTAATCGGATTATGAATATATATATATATATATATATATATATATATATATATATATGTTTTTATGTTTTATGTTTCATAAGGCGTTAACTAATAGGTAACACGGTTTAACAGCACTGTCCCCACTGATGCTGGTTGAGTGCCATAGCCTCCACCTTTGCTAACCACTGGCAGTCTGAATCACGTGGTCCTCATCCTGGAAGGCGGACCTGTCCGAAGGATGCCTTGTTTGAGGTTGTATTCCTCATGCTCCTTCTCCACCTCATTGGTTGCTCACCGCGGCACTTTTTCGGCTGGCTTGCCGAACAACCTCCTCGTGGTGCCAGCTGGGTGGTTCGGGATTTTCCCGTTCCAGCAAATGGTTCGGCGGCAGTGTTCCAGGACGTGGTGGGTTTTCGCCTGGCAAGCGTTCTCCCTATAAAAAGCCACATATGTCCGTTTAACAACACTGTGACGTGGCGGACGTGACTCGCCACTAAATAAAGTCACTGCCCCTTGCTTCATCCTGGCGAAGCATTGTATTCCAGCAAGTTGATGCTGTAATTTCGGGGAGCATTGGGCCCCTGTTTGGCAAAGGAACAAACGAAAGGCGTATGAACTGATCAATCAGTCACCGGCTCCCAATGGGCGCGATTCCCTGAATTCGCTCCGCTGCCTTGCGGACAGGCTATTCAGCCAAAGGCTCGGGGTGGTGTCCCCTAAGTCAACACCCTACTTCGGCTTGGGCAACCGGGTAGTATTTCGCCCTCTGACGAAACCGTGGACATTGTTGTGTTGTGTTGTGTTTTCTTTTACTATTTCTGTACCTTGTTTTGAGTTCCATGGTTTCCGATGGTGCAAATGTCTATTCATAGACTGTTGCAATATATATATATATATATATATATATATATATATATGTTATCAATCGTCATCACATCAGTTACTGGATATCTGAGAGGTCAGCGATGCTGTTAAAATCCAGAAGAAAGCTCAGGTGGTACAGGCTGAGCCATGGACGGTTAGTTTAAGGCTCCGTCGGAGGCCATAGTCCGAAACGCGATCACAGCCCTCAATTGTTTTCGTGCTGCTGGCTCAGATTATCTCTCACCTGCACTACTTTCAAGGATGGAAGTGAGGTCCTCTGCAAAGCACTGGCCTCCCTGTTCGTACGTCTGGAAGGAAGAAACAATCCCAGCTAACTGGAGTGAGTCGGATAGTGGCAACTTATAAAAAGGGCAGTCACACCGATTGCACTAACCACAGGGGTATTAGTCTAACGCTCATAGTGACAAAATCACACGCCACAATTCTCGTTCGTTGCCTCAATAAGGAACGGTAATCCCGAATTAGGGAAGGGCAAGAAGGCGTCCGCTCAGGACGGGGCTGTACCGACCATATATTTACTCTGCGACAGATGTTAGAGCGGCGCCACGCATACTACAATGACAACAGCCGTGTTCCTCGACATCAAGAGTGCGATCGATTCATTTTGTCCGAAATACTTGTGCGGAAAGGTGTTCCCATGAAGTATGCGAACATCTTACGTGTTCTGTACTCGAACACAACAGGCCGCGTCAGGGTCTACGGCAAGTTATCGGATATCTTTCCGACAACTAGTGCTGTTCGTAAAGATTCTCCAATTTCCCATTTTTTGTTCAATTTCGTCGTGGACCCCATCTTAAAGTGTTCCCTTGCGGAGTCTCACGATGCAGGCGCTGCCTGGTGAAAAGCTAAGTGCTCTTGATTATGCGGACGATAGTCTTGTTGTTTAATGATATTGGGGCGATGCAATCAACCACGAATAACGTCGCTAGAGTGGCCCCATCAGTTGGCATGCGCCTTACACCTTCAAAGTTCAAAGTGTTGCAGGAGCACCAGCCACTTGGTAGCGAGGAACTCGAAGTGGTTGATCAATTCACTTGCCTTGGTAGCCGCATCAGCAACGATGGGCGCATAACAAATGGTCAGTACACATATTGCAAAAGCCAGAACTGCCATCTTGTATCTGCGAGATCTTGGGCGACAGAAAGGAGTTTCCACCAGTATGAGAGACTGTCTATACAAGGTCACAGTGAGAGTCTTCCTACTCTATCGGAGTGAAATTTGGCCCCTTCGATCTGATGACCTGCGGCGCCTTCAAGTCTTTGATCATCGCTGGTGTCGGGTGGCACCAGCATGTCCGCAACCAAGATGTGCATAGGCCAATGCTAGGCATTGATAACCAAGCTAGTTCCTTAGATTAACAGATAGCATTGAATAAGTCGCGTTGGTTTGGGCACGTATTACGTATGCCAGGTCACCGCTTACCGAGGAGGGCCTTGTATTGTCTGCCAGATTTAAGGTGCGCCGAGGTGGATAAAATGAAGTCACTGACGACCCAACTGGGTGCTATCGGTCCGTCTCGCCTTCCAGGCTGGAGTCCATGTGACTCGTCCTGTGATTGGCTAGGGACTTTACAGGACAAGGCTCGCAGTCGACACCAGCTAAGCGTCTGCTGCTGTCTCCTAACCGCATTGAAGCTGTCGCACTGATGCCGCCTTGTCTACACGATAGCTGTTTGTGACTGTATATTGTTGATAAGTTGTGGGCGCGTTGATCCTGAATGTTTGCTTAGGGTATTAAGGTTTTCCCGTAAGTCCCGCTTTTTTCCCTGTTATTATTCTTCGTTCCGTAGGTCATCATGGTTGTATGGCAATGAAGCATCACTTCAAATGGCTGATGTACTGCTGCTTATAATGATCCAACTTCAAAATTGAAAAATTCCTGACATCGGCCGCTCATGCACCGCCAATCTGCTGTTGACCAGGCATGGAGGACTGCAAGCGCTGTACCGGAACGAGGTCGGTGGACATGATCCACACTGATTTCAGTAAAGCTTCCCCACAAAGGAATCATGAATTTCTCATACAAAGGCTGAGGATGTACTGTGTTGATGCTTCACTGTCCCATCAAATCAGCGACTTCCTTGTTGCGCGAAAGGGGAGGGTGCAGGTGGATGATCCTCTAACTAACTGGTTCCCTTCCACTAGTGGCGTATCACATGGGGCCAATTTTGCTATTTGATCCATACTTTTCCCAGCCAAGAACGCACACAAACTTGAGTTGATAAGGTGAATGAAGAGCCGATGGTCTAGCACGAGTTAAAAAGCAGATGATAAACAAAACCAGCTGGGTGTTCAGATGGATTTGGAGAAGAAAGACGAAGAGGAGCAATTTGAGGTCGCCTCGTGTGAAGCGTCTGGAGAGAAGCGGCGGATTACAACGAAATGAATTCACTGAATGATGAGTGTCAGCATAACACGTTTACTTCACTGATCATCGTAGATAAAGTAAATAATCCTGGAAAGGCCATTTAAGAGCAACGAAACGAGCTGGGCCGGCGGTAGTAGGCAGGTATTCCAAGCTCGGTAAATGTACGTCCAGGAACGCCACTTGACGAACTTGTATCACGGATAGGCCGGTTGTTCCTCACTATTTTTAGCAGCTGATTTGAAATGCGAGTTTCTTACAATGGACAGAAAGATCAGGCTTGGACAGCCGTTCCCTTAAATATGCACATGTTTCTGACATCTGATCCTAACTGTCAAGGGGCCAACGGCTCGGACAGTGAACAGGCAAAACAGTAAACTAAAAGAGCAACCAGCTTCAGTGGAAACAGAATCGATGGACAATGATGTTCGCCAGTCGGCTATACCAACTCGCCACAACAGCAATGGGTCGGATCGTGAGTATTTTGATTTCCGGTGACATTATTGTACAACCCCAGGAACTTTGTCTCTGCAAACCGATCCGAAGAAGCAAACTAGAGATGGAAATTCAGACGGTTATTCGGGTGAAGATAGACGGTGGACTCTATTACGGATCCGAAGACTCTCATTGCCCCAAAGATACAGTTTAGCCATAAATGTAGATGGACTGAGAGCGCTAGACGAATGAGCAACTGTGCGTCGGTTACGCCTGGATATTACCGGCGTTCTTAGCACATGCCTCATAAGCTGTAAACAGCATGTATTCCTAGCCAGACTAATAGCAGACAGTCTGTATCAGCTACCATATAATAAGGTGAACATGGCACAAAGAACTCACCTAAGAAGTGGTACCGCCCACGGAAGGCCCTAGCGCACAGCTTTGGCGCAGTCAGTGAGATCAAACAGTCCGGATTAAGAGCACCAGCGTCCACTCCCCCAACATCGGCTTCCACATCCCAACCTGGAAGAGAAAATGAGGGGATGGATAAAAATGGCGTACGCAGCGAAGAAGGTGTAACAAGACCTGTTTGTTGCGCGGAAACCCACCGGGACAACATGACGGCGAACTAAAAGAATTTCCTAGTTAAAATTACCAAAAGTAGTATCTAAGAGAGAGCAAATGTGGAAAAAGTTGACCACAAAAGGATACAGTATTGAAGGTGTGTAACACTGGATAGATAAAAGATGAGGTTTATAAAGCATCAAGCAACCGAAAAAATACTTGCCTAACGCCTGACCGTCATTGGATTACGGACTGCTGACAAGTGCTACGAGCAGGTCAAATACACGACACTCACCCCATTCAAAGATCGTGTCACAATATGAACCAAGATGGTAACTAATGTAATCACAAAGCAATGTGTCGAGTAGTTCAGTTGAGGGTTCGAATATCATGAAGGCGGTTGAACTGTCAATGAGAGCGGGAGAGTCATTGTGGTGTGATCTCGTTCTACACGAGATACAACGCATTCCAAGTTAGCCAAACTCACGTGGTTATGATGACAAGCAGGTGGATGACAAATGGAATGGTCACATAAATAGGTGACCTGAAGGTACATCCCATTCGACGCACGTTCGGTTCCGCAGCATGCGGACGAACCCTGCATATTGCATTCGTCTACGCAATGGGCGGAAGCTAGGGGACCAACGGAATCTCAAAATCGGTATGCACGAGCAATAGCCGTAATCATCCAATCTAGAGGGTCAAGGTGACTGGTTAAGCACAAAAAGGAAAAGGTGACTGCACATCTAACAAAGTAGTAAGAAACATAAGCGTTTGCACTGCAATTGAGGTATAGTTGAAGAATGGAAACGCAAAGCCATACCGATGCGTGGTGGCAGCGTTTATGCACAGTAACCCATACAAACGTGTTTACGGGCCAACTTCAGCAGTCAGTGCGTATAAACACGGAACTCAATGACAGTATGTATAAACAATTCACCGAGACGGAGACAGTTAACAGGGCTGTGCGAACATGTGAGTGCACACGCATCCCGTTCGAACATCTCATATCGGACGCAAATCTCGCAATGATACCGTTGGTGGTTTGTGTCAGCGCGGATGTAAACAAGCGTTGGTCTCTGCGTCCGATGAAGTATGCACGTCAGATCAATGAGCCGTGTAAAGCATAAAAAGCAAGTAAAATGTTTACCTACGTCCTTGGGTTGGACTCTACGTGGTATCTCAGTCGGTTTAAGCAATTGGGCCGTAGACACCCTGTTGCACAAGATGCGTGAGACTGTGCATCCACGCAAAGACGAGGCATTCAGCAGGTCACGTGACAACGGTCATCAAACAACTGTGACGCAAAACTACATGAGTGGTAACGGTAACAAGGCGACGGAAATCGAACAGGGACGGAAAAGGTGGGAGTACCTGCAAGCTTCCTGAATCATGTGGATGGGGGTATACATGGTAAAAGATAGCTAAAGCAACACAGCTCAGCTGCCGGAGCAATCAATCAAAGTGACGTCCATCATTGCCGCAGAATTACCAGTGGTGCTGGAGTAAGGGTCTGCAGCTCACACAGAGGCCGCTAAGAGGCCTAATGCGGCGGCTTAGTGGTAAAACCACCGTGAACCGCAAGAGAGCAAAAATTACCAGCTCGAAAAGTTGTCATGGGATTGGTAGGCAAGCTGGTAGGCAAGTTGAAAATCTTGAGTTCGAGACCACAGGAACAAAACAAATTAATGAAACTAGTGATCATTAAACAGAATGAATGCAAGATGTAGACCGGGTGGCATTAGTAAAGGGACAAGATCCGAAAAGTAAGCGAAATTACTAGTGCCTACTACTTGCACAGTATGTATGTAATCTCAACAGTCTAGCAAGTAGAGGTAGAGCCAATAGAAAACCATGGAGATTAGCAGATAAGGAGAAGTCATTGCGTCATAATCATCATGGCATAGTAGCTGAAGGTGAGCAACACACTTTAGTTACTATGCCGCAGGAAGAAAGGAGCATTTTTATAAAAAGTAGAACAAACAATTTTCAGTGTTTTTCACAAGCCGATTATTCTCTTTTCGGTCATTTTCAATGTTTGAAGTATTAAACATGTGAATCAATACAATACTGTACACAATCCTTCCACTGATTCCGGTTGCGGGCCATGTCTTCAAGAGTGTTCAGCTATTGGCACTCCTCATCTTTGGGTCGCTATCGTGGAAAACGTATGGGTCCAACAGCGGCTAGACACGACGTCAGCGATTTCATGTGCTGCCGCCAAGTGGAAGCCTGACCATCACGCGGTCGCCTCTAGCCAGGTCTTTGACGAGCGAATAGGGGGCGATGCGGTAGAGAACTGAGAACTGGTGCGAAGCAGCGAGTAGAGTTTGCTCTGTGTAGCTGCATCATTCGTCGTTTTCGGACATGAAATCTTTATTAATCGTTTCGTTCTCTGTACTTTGCCTCTGCAAATTGTTGGTCTAGTAGCATCTTGAACTGAGACACTGTGTTGGCTCCTACTATATGCTGAGGCAGGTAGACGCTCAGGTGCTATGCGTAGGACGTGACCAAGCCATGTTAACTGGCGCAACCAAACCAGTTTGTTGAAGGGAATACTCGCATTCTCCACAGTGCGACGTCGAACGTCATTACTATTAACTCGATGTTGCCACCAAACACGAGAAATTCTCCTTAAGCAACCGTTATCGAAGGCAGAAAGACGACGCATGTCTTCCACGCGAATCGGCCAGGACTCGCACCCATACAACAATACTGAGCGAACAGATGTGCTGTAAACGCGGCCCTTTAGCGAGAATGAGACGTCGCGATGACGCCACAAGTGTCGCAGTGGCAAATGCTGATCGGGCTTTAGCGATGCGAAGAGAAACTTCTTTGTTGATAGTGCAGTCAGCAGAAACACAGCTTCCAAGGTAGACGAAACTATCTACCTGTTCAAGCTGTGCACCTTCGAGAGTGAGCATGGGTGCAGGTGAAAGCCAATCCTGGAGCAACCCTTTACACTTCGATGAGGCGAAGCTCATGCCATAGTTAGATGCTTCAACCGCCAAACGATCCAGAATGAGTTGCATACCCTGAGGATCGTCACCAAGTAAGGCGATATCATCAGTATAATCTAAGTCGGTCGCGCGCTCACCCGGTAGAAGCTCTAGGCCAAAATGTTGGAAACCCTCTAGAACATTCGACAGAACGTCTTCCATTGCGAAGCTGAAGAGGAATGGGGACATAGGGCAGCCCTGTCGCACACCGCTATTGACAGCGAATTGCGAGGAAAGCTTGCCATAGACGCTCACTCTGCCGGAGATATGAAGGTAAGGTGCTCGTAAGATGGCGGTATATTTCTCTGGCACCCCGTTCTTTAGCAAGCAACGCCATAAAGCATGTCGATCAGCAGAGTCAAAAGCGGCATGTGTGTATAGGAATGCCACTTGCACAGTGCTTGTGAAACGAGTGATTCTAGTTCATAACCTGTGGGCGAAAAGATACAGTTGAGCGGTCACATTGGACTGTGTGTCAACAACACACCCGAGTCAGAGTCGCAAAATTTCTGATGCACCTTTACCAGGCAGTTGCACAAAAGTGCCCCCCGCGTAATCACTAGGACCCACTGCTTCACGATACAATGAACTATGATTTGTCACGGGTTAAAAAGCGACCGCTTGACAAGTCACGTAGGATGGTTGGAGTGAATACCATAAAATCAGCAGGTGTTGGTCACCTACGGGGTTAAATGCGTTGGCACATTAGGTTAATGTAAAATAGAAATAGTATACAAGCATACAAAAGAACACGGGGGGCAGTGATTGTTGACGTAAGGCGTGAGAAAAGCAAACTATGGCTGGTCACTCATGCGTCGTCTACTTGAGTCCATGTGACACATACATCCGGTAGAAGGGCGTGATTAATGTTAGCATAGATTATGTAACGAAGTACTGGAATCTAAGAGAAGCATCCAATCGTATTTTTGTATATGTCTCAAGTAGAGGAGAGTACAACTGAGTTTGGGAGAGAGTTCCATGGTTAGCAAATTCCAAGGGAAATGTAAACCCGCCGACACTCTAGACGGCTATATTGTTCACACAGTTTCAGGTAGTTACCTTTGAGTCTGGCGTTGTGGCTATTTTAGCAAGTGGCAGCACACTTGGTTGGGGTTACTAAATATTTGGTACACTAATATCAGATCGCCGCGTATCCTTCGGTAGCGTTCGCTGAAAACCTCCAGCAAACTCAACCTTTGTTGATAAGAATGAATGTGTAAGCCTTTGGATATTCTGTGTTGCTCTGCGTTTTGATGCCTCTAGCAGCTCCAAGTCATGCTTCAACCAAGGTTGCCAAGCTTCCATAGCATATTCAAATTGAGGACGCACGTAGTAATTGTGCGTCATTAGGAAGATGGATGAGTCAAAATTCCCAAACGTCCTTCGCAGCATGCCGACGTGCTTGTTGCCTATTTTCTCAGCTACCTCAGCCTGTTTTGAAAAGTTGAGGTCACTCTGTACGAACACACCAAGGTCACGGTCTTGGGAACTAGTCTGTAATTCGTGTGCCCCAAGCCGATAAGCGCAGTCACGTCTATGACGTAAGTAAAGAACGTGACATTTGTCTACATTGAATGGTAGGGCATTTTGAACCGATCAGTTCGAAATCGCGTTAAGATCGCATTGGAGCACTTTGTGGTCGTCCGGTCTGCTGGTCGCGCGCCATATCGTGATAGCATCTTCGAAAAATGAAAAATCGGAACCAACTGATCTCGCTAGATCGTGTACGAAAACTAAGATTATACGATGCCCTAGCACTCAGCCTTGGGATACACCATATTCGTCATCAATGGCATCGTACAGAGATTGCCGGACTCTCACCTCTAACAGATGTTCTTGTAGAAAATTGCTTATCCAACTCAATGCCGCAGTTTCGAAGCTTGTGAAGGAGAATTCGATGGTCCAAGCGATCAAACGCTTTTGAGAAGTCCAGGAAAATGACATCGACTCCTGTTTCAA